AAGTTTCCAGACGTTATTTCTAGAAAATTGGTTGAGTTCTTCTTGCATTGCATTGATCCAATCAGAATCAGCTAGAGCTTCTTCAATATTCTTTGGTTCCACTTGTGAGATGAAACAAGCAAGCATAGTTTCTAGATTTTGCTGAGCACTTCTTGTGCGAACACCAGATTGAATATCTCCAATGACTTGTTGGGGAGGATGATCCCTTAACCAACGAAGATTGTGTTGATTAGGATTGACTGGTTGATCTAGTTCAGCTTCTGGTTGAAGAACAGAAGTTGGTGTTTCCGGATGGATTGGCACTGGGTTGCCATTTCCGGAATTGTCGCCGTTTGAGTGATCCGGAATATTGGAAGGCTGGCCAAGATTTCCGGTAGGCTCAGCACTGTTTGAATCCGGATTTCTCTGTGAAGTCTTCAGTGGTAGACTTCTGAATGGAATGAACTCCGTAGTCTTCATTCTATCACCTTCATTGACTTCGTCATCCTTGTAAGATAGATCCAGAACCTCATGATCATGCTTTGATGGCTTGTCAACCACATGTTTTCATCAAAAATAACATGTATTGACTCTTCTGTGATCATGGTTCTTTTGTTGAAAACTCTGAATGCCTTGCTCACCACAGAGTATCCAAGGAAGATGGCTTCATCTGATTTCTCATCAAAAGTGTTTAGATGATTCTTCCCGTTATTTAACACAAAACACTTGCTCCCAAAAATATGGAAATATGATATATTAGGCTTTCTCCCGTTCCATAGTTCATAGGGAGTTTTGTTGTGCCTTTTATAAATCATACTCTTATTTTGAGTATAGCAAGTCGTGTTAACAGCTTTAGCCCAGAACCTCTTTGGTAAAGAAGCTTCTGCTAGCATTGTTCTCACTGCTTCCTTTAGGGTTCTGTTCCTTCTTTCCGCTACACCATTCTGTTGAGGCGTCCTTGCTGCGGATGTCTGATGAAGAATTCCGTTTTCTTCACAATAATGAATGATGATTTCATTCAAGAACTCTGTGCCTTTGTCAGATCTGATCTTCTGAATGGTCTGACTTGCTTGGTTTTGAATCAGCTTCATACAGTTGGTGAGTTTCCCTTGAGTTTCCCAAACCATAACCCTTCTCTTTCAAATCCCTTCTTGATATTAAACCATTCCTTATCCTTCCCATAATATCCAAACATCTTTTATTTTCATTTGATGAACAAAATAATTTCTTTTTTCTCCTTTTTTAGCCCTGAACAAAAATAAGATCAGAAGGACAAACCTTGCGCATTGTTTCTACTTCTTTTGTTCCTTTTAAGGAGAGTTAGTTTACCTAGTTTTGATAAGTTGTTCGAAGTTGAATGCGATGCTTGCGGCGTTGGCATAGGAGCCGTATTATCCCAAGAAGGCCACCCCGTGTCATATTTTAGTGAGAAGTTGAATGACACCCGAAGGAGATATTCAACTTATGACAAAGAGTTTTACGCTCTTGTACGATCTCTTGTGCATTGGAGGCATTATTTGATTAGCAAGGAGTTTATACTCCGTTCTGATCATGAAGCACTGAAGTACATCCAAGGGCAA